GACCGCGCGATCGTAGGCGCGGTCTGCGCGATCACGGCGATGGGTACGCGCCTCCACAAGCGGCCCTACGCCGTCGAGCTGTCGGCGCCTGTGAAGCTCTTCGACTTCGACTTCTCGCGCGACCCGGCGGACTTCGCGCGGCGGCGCAAGGTCGAGCTGCCCTGCCGCCGCCGCGGCGTCCTGAACGGCGTCGTGCTGCACTTCGACCTCGACGTCGACGACGGCGACCGGCTCTCGTCGGGCGCAGGCGGCGACGCGAACGGCGCCTGGGACCAGCTCGTCCGCTACCTGCCCGTCGAGGTCAAAGTGGACCGCGGCGACGAGATCCCGCTCTACGCCGAGCACGTCAGCGACGACGTCTTCCTCTACCTCCGCGCCAAGGCCCTCGGCCCAAACGCCATCGACGTCGACAACGTCGTGGGCCACGTCGACCTCCCCGGCGAGCGGACGCACGCGGTCTGCGTCGCGAACGCGGATTAACGTCTTCACGCGTCCTCTCGAGAGCTGGCCGTCGCCGAACGCGGATGAACGCCTTCTTCACGGGTCCTCGAGCTGGCCGTCGCGAACGCGGATGAACGTCTTCACAGGTCCTCGAGCTGGCCGTCGCTCCGCGGGCCCTCCGTCGCCGCGGGGCAAGGCGACCCCGTCTTGGACACGCAGGAGTAGTCAACGCTCTTGCGCTGCTCGTACAACGTGTCCGCCCTGCGGTAGTTCGTCTTCGACGCGGCGATTTTTGCCGCCAGCGCCTCCTTCTTCGCCTTCTCCGCCGCCTTCTTCGCCGCCTCATCCTCGGCCTCGTCGGCAAAGGCGGCGCGCGCAGGGCCGCCGAGCAACGCGGCGGCGGCGGCGCCGACGAAGTGCCGCCGCTGCAGCGCTCGCGGCGGTGCGTGCGTCGGCGCGAGTGCGTGGGTTGTGCTTGCGGCGGCGGCGCAGAGGAGTAGTGCGCGGAGCGTCATTGCTGATTGCTGGAGTAGAGAGTCGATCAAGTGCTCATACGCTCCGTCAGCCCTTCAAAGTGCCCTTCAACCACAGGCTCAGGTCAGCAGTGATCCATCGGTG